GAAAGACATCTTGAACAAGGTGGAAGGAGCAACAAGTGAAGTAGAGCTGAAGATCAATAGACGAAAAATAAGACGAAATATATGTGTAGAAATAGAACGACACGAAGAGGCAGAATAGGACAAAATATGACGGTCAAAACCTTCAATTTCGAAAGAGTACAATGTCTTAGGAATCTGGGGGCCGTCATCACAGCTGACAACGATGTCACTAAAGAAATAAAAGACAGAATCCAATCTGCAAACCGCTGTCTATTTGCACTGGACAAGGTCATAAAATCAAAAAATCTCACAAGAAGTTCAAAGATTAAAATCTATAAATCCATCGTCAGACCTGTAATAACATACGGATGCGAAACGTGGACCATGACCAAAGCAAACGAAAAAGCTCAGACGCTTTGAACGAAAAATACTTCGTACCTCACCATGACATCACCACTAATCAGTATAAGATCAGAACCAATATCGAATTAAAAGCACTTTACAACGACGCCGATATTGTACAAGAAATTAAATCATAGCTACTAAGATGGGCAGGCCACGTGCACAGGCAAAAGGCCACCAAAAGGCTGAATACGATAGAGAGATAACATTCAAGCATATCTGCTTTCTGAAAATGCCTATTTTAATCTCAGGAATCTAAGATTAAGTTATGGCCATTCGTTGCCAAACACCATGTATATTATATTAATATATATAATAACCCAAATGTCAATAATAATTATATTAAAATTAACATAATTATAAATAGATAATAAATAAACATATTTATTTAATACAAGTAGCTTTGTCGTAACTTCTTATGACATTTTTCGTACGCAATTGGAAGACCTACAATAGCGATGAACCGTCACTATTACTCCCAAGAATTTACTGCTTAGATTTCTGAATTCTGACTATAATTATTTTGCCTGTGATGGTCGATGATTGGGATTTTGATTGTAATTAGAATGGTAATGTGTGAAGAAAACATAGAGGTAGACCGGGTTGTTTGGATTAGTTAATAGCGTGCTTGCGTATTGTAAACTGAGGCATAATCTTTTAATAGAAAGTGGAGATTCATTTGCTTCGACATAAAGACTTTCAACTGGACTGGTTCTGTAGGTTCCTAGAGCTAGTCTTAGTGCGGTATTTTGTACAATATCTAATGTTGTAATGTTGAGCCCTTAGCTGAATTGTATACAATTGATCCATAATCTAATTTACTGCGGATTAACGATTTGTAAATATTTAGTAGCTGTGTTGTGTCGGTGTTCCAGTTATGATTTGCTAGTATTTTAAAAATATTTATGTTCTTTAAACACAAATTTTTAAGTAATCAGATGGGTTTGTTCCAAGTAAGTTTTAAATCAAAGATCCTACCTAGAAATCTAAGTTTCTCAACGCTTTTCTAAAACTTGATCATACAGTGTGAATTTTGGAAGATTTGTAACAATTTGATGAAGTTATTTTTTGTTAAAATAAATTTTCAAGCTTTATATAATCCAAAAATATTTCTTAGCATAGGTATTTGCCCTCAAAGAGAAACAAATATTTTTTTTATCTTTCAAAATTGGAACTTTTGATCGAAAAGTATAGTGACCTGAAATAAGACCAAAATAAATTAAAAGTACAGTAACTTTTATTAATAAATAAAAATGTATTTCCTGTTTGTTTTTGTTTTAAATGGGAAATTTTTTAAATACGTTCATATCATAAAAATATTTTTTATTTTTATCTTTGAAATTTAAATTTAACTTTGAAATTCTTTTGGATAGTTGATAATATTTATTTTTTATATTTTTCTTCCTCAGACTGATACAAAAACAAAATCTTTAAAAAAACCTATTGACGTTTGCCTTCGGTGGTTGTTCATATAGAGCCAGCCAAATGGGTTCTTCTGTTTCTTACTATTATTCTCTCTAACATAAGCAGTAGTGTTTGTTAATTCACGATTCATCTATGAAACGACCACTCCATCTTTTATGCATATACATCTTCTTATTAACGTGTCCTATCAAGTCCCCTTGACGTTGGCGATTAACATGGCGAAACTGTCTCTGTCTCGAGCTATTCTAAAGAGTTGATCAGCTTTCCTTATTCCTGTCCACTCCCTGATATTCTTCAACCAAGAGGACTGCTTTCTACCAATTCCTCTGCGTCCTTCGATTTTACCCATCATAATAAGTTGTAAAATAATATATCGGTCTCCCTTTACTACGTGTCCAAAATAGGCCATCTTTCTACATTTGATGTTATCAAACAGCTCGCGAGCAGCATTTACTCTCTCAAGGACTGCCCCATTTGTCAGCATAGCCGTCCATGAAATTTTTAGTATACGTCTGTGCAGCCACATTTCAAAGGCCTCCAGACGATTAATGTTGAATATTTTTAATGTCCATGCTTCGACACCGTATAAGAGGACTGACCAAATGTAGCATTTAACCATAAGCTTTTGAAGTTGAAGTTGCAAGTTATCATTACAGAAGAATGACCTCATTTTTAAAAATGTCGTGCGGGCTATCTCGTTTCTATATTTTATCTCTTGATCTGGATGTAGTTGTTCAGTAATATGGCAACCTAGATAATTAAAACTGGATACTCTTTGAATTATATGACCACCAACATATAATCGTGCACTCGTGCTAAACGGCTAAACACCATGTGTTTTGTAATCATAAACCATAATCATAAACCATAAATGGCATTTAAAAGGCATTGTAATCCATTCATGTCATCACTTAAAATAACTGTATCGTCTGCATATCTGATTGTATTTATCAAAATTCCATTAACTTTCACGCCCCATTCCAAATTATGCAGCGCTTTTTTAAATATTCTATTTGAATATAAATTAAATAACAGTGGGGATAGTATATAACCCTGTCTGGCACCTCTTAGTACTTTACATATTTCTGTTGATTTTCAGTTTATGCAAGCTCTCGCTGTTTGACGCCAGTATAACTTTTCTATGAATCGTATGTCTTGACTATCAACTCCTTTATCTTTTAATATTGTAATTAATTTGTAATGCTGTACTCGATCAAAGGCCTTTTCGTAGTCAATAAATACAGCAAAGATGTCTTTCCTTTGATTTTGACATTTCTGCAGTAATACAATCGGTTATAGTATGTGGAGTTATCTTATGATAAAGACCAGCTACTTCTCTAACTTTTTTAAACATATTAAATGTATCATGTTTTTCATTCAACTTTTCTACTTCCTTGCATTTATCCTTCATCCATTTTTCTTTAGCCACCTTTATTTTTTGTTTAATTAGTTTCTGTTTTTCCTTATATATTCTGTCCTGTTACCTTTCAGTTACCTTCTCTGCTCCATTAATTCCAGGATTTCATCATTCATCCATTGTTGTTTTTTGTGCCTATGTAACGTTGTTGAATATTTTTCAATTACTTTCAAGGTAAGATCTTTAAATGTGTTCCATATTTCTGTGTTGTTTTCATTTATTGGTTTCTTTAGCTCATTGTTTAAGTCATTTTCTATTAACGTTTTGTTGGATATTGAGATATTTAATTTTGGTGTTTTGTTGCTTTCTTTAACTTTTTTGAGCCTCACTTTGATGTCAGTTATTACAGGGTTATGGTCTGAACCGATATCTGCACCAGGATATGTCGTTACTCTGGTGACGCCATTCTTAAATCTCTTGTTTACCAGAATATAGTCTATCTGATTTCTAATCATATGTAGTGAATTATCTCCTGGTCCCCTCCATATACCTCTATCTGTTGATAATTTGAACCGTACTATCCTGACGAATCCTGACTCTACTTTCCATTCGGCTCCATTTTTCACTTATTCTGTTGTGTTTGACAAACTCTAGGGTCCTTTTAGAAGAGTTAAAAATTTCAACTAGACATCAGCATGAAATTGGTTAATGTAATGTAAATTGCATATGTTTCGGCCAAATTGCATATTTCTTTATTATTTTCTTTCATTTTATATAAATAATTAGGTTATACTTATTACGATGATGAAGAAGATGATTTGTTATGGGTGGATACTTTTCTGCTATTCAGACAGGGAATAGATCTTCTTCAGGAGTAGCACATCTGCCCACACAAGCTCATGGATTTCCCCAGCCTCCCATCCCCACGAAAACCATGTCCGAATCCAAAGCATACACATCAGCAATACCACCAATAATAATGGAAGGCCTCTCTTAAAACGTGGTATACAAGTTCCTTGTGGTCAAAGAAGAACTCTATTAAACTTGCCTGACTTTTTTTTTCATATTTTTATGCCTTTTCTTTTTCTTGAAGTAAAAATTTGAGTCTTGAAACTTAACAAACAAGTTCTTTATCGTCAAAATAACACATAATTTCAGAATAAACAACAACTTAGTCAAATATATTAAAAACAATAAGAGCCACAATAAAAAGCACTTTCTCAGTGATGTATACAAACTTAAATGTGGCGACTGCCCAAAAATCCCTAACATCGGTCAAACTGGTCGAAATTTTAATAAACGAATAGCAGAACATAAAAGGGCTATCAATAATAGAAAAACAGATTCTACATACGCACTTCACCTTCTAGATTATAATCATTCTTTTAATGACGAATTTCAAATTCTTCACATTCAAAATAAAGGCCTTACGCTATCTGTGGTTAGAATCTATGGAAATCAACAAATTAAAAAACACAGATATAATTATGAATGACCAACTTGAGACAAACAGTTCTCCCCTCCTCAACCTATGTCATTAGAGACTATAAAGTGTAAACGCATGCCAAAAATAGATCACTTTAGAAAGGCAATCAGCCGAAACAGCTGTAGTAATAAGATTTTATAATAAATTTGATGGAAGTTTTGAAAACAAAGTTTTCAGGGTTTTATTGTTACTTAAAATTATTGGATTTATCAGAATTTTTTCAAATTATGCGTTAATTTTGGTGCCCTGTATAATACGTTAAATGACGTTAACCTAAAATAATATTAGTAAAAATTTTACCAAGCTGTATGTGAAGTTTTCGATTTTAAAAAACCCTAATTTCTATTCCAGGTATTCCATTCGGGCACCAGCATACCCAACCCATCCCTGTACAATCTCCCACGAGCCCTTTTCAGCTTGGCCGGCTCAGCATCTGCTGCGTCTTCATCAATAGACAATCCCCAATCCGCCAAATTTACAAATATCGTGGATTATCATAAAAAAGAAGAAAAACGACAACAACTGCAAACCGAAAAACGAATAGGAGAAGATGACGAAATTTCTGATGATCCTTCAGAGAAAGAAGAGAATGAAGCTTCGCCGAGTTTCCTGCAAAAGAAAGTTAATAGGATCTTAGCGAAAATTCAACTCTTTTCCAGTTTTGCTGATTCTTCCGCAACGCAAGATTCAGAAGTAGAAGAAGAAAGTAAGTTTATTAAGATGACTAATTTCTATTAATGTAGTTGAGAAGATGAGCTAAAAAAGTTTAGAATATTATTTGTGCTTCTTCTTCTTCCTTCTTGTATCTTCTTCTTCTTCCTCTCATTAGTGTTGTTTGTTTAATTTGTCCTGCCTTGTTTGCTAACCATCGATTTATCCTGCTTTTTAATTTCCTGCTTTTTTGATGAGTTATTTTTTAAGTATATTTTAAAGATCGTCGTGGGTTTTATTAGTCAATTCCCGCGTCAGTAGAAATCGTATTTTTTCAATTTGTTCGCAAACATCCTAGACATTAAGTAATAAGTACATACTTAATTGAATAATTATACAATAAAAGATTCCAAGTAACATATATATTGTTGACTATGGAATTTCCAATAATTTACAGGTGTATGGCACATTCTCCAATAGAATTAATGTGTTATAAACAGAACATGTGATTTTGTTACATAATTTAAAAGAATTCTCACATCTCTCTCATCTTTAGAACTAGTTTACTTTAAGTAAAAAACTTTCGTGGAAGTAATAATTGCAAAGCCGAGTCGATTTAACACTATAAACGATATATTAAAAAATTGTACAAAAAAAAAGCCTAATAGAAAACTAATATGTTCAAACAATTATAAAAGACTAGGCCCTTTCGATAGCGATGATTCGAATATTAGATAAGACATAATGAAGTTTCGTCAGCCGGTTCAGATTCAGATACTGAATCTGAATACGATGATAGTACATCTAACTCTCCTGAATATGATAATTACAATATAGCAGATGAAGAAATACAGGAAATCGTATCGCAACAGCAAGAAAGTTTTTGGGAAAATATTCGTGTAAACATGAGCGATTTTGATCTCTTACAAGAATCAGATATTATATACAGACAACTTACAGGCCACAATTAAACCATTGATTATTCAGACATTTTGTTACCGACGATCTCTTGGAACAAATTGTTAATGAAACCAATGCATTTTGCAAGTGATCATATACAGAATAGATTCAGACGCAAATCTAGAATTAGACTGTGGACAGAGACAAACAGTTATGAAATGTTAAACTTTTTTGGTGTCATTCTAATTATGGCATTAAATTCAGTGCCTAGTTTTATAATCTGTCTTAAACTTGTCCGCTTATGGCAACGGTTTTATTGTTACGAAGATGAAAGACAGATTCCTTTTAGTGTTAAACACGTAAATTCCTACACAAATCATAATTTTAATTAAATATTTTACATATAACATTGTCTATAAAAATATCTGTATTCCCTGTAGGGTTACAACATATATTCAGTAAGATTTATTCTTGCAAAACGCGAAAAGAAAAAAGAAAAGTTAAATTACGTTTTTCTAGATAAAAACATAACCTTTAGATTAGAGCCATAGAATAAGTCTTTGTTCTTTTGAGACGGTCAGTCAGCCTTGAATAAGAAATTCAAAATAAGTATCAGATAACCTAATTTGTATATTTCCATGTCATTCAGGTAAATACTTCCACAACAGATGCAAAGATGAAGACATTAATGATATGTCCAATATAAAAAACATCTTAAAGAAAAACCAACAAAAAAGAGTCAGTAAATATTGTTTAAAACGCTAAGGTGGGTAAAACTGAAAATAAAGCACATCTGAGAGATATTATAGTGTGAATATATACGAAATTAAAAATGTATGTAAACAGCTGAAGACGAACAAAGCACCCAGACGAGGGGATATACCCGGAGAATATTTAAGTACGGAACGAACAAATTGTACGAATGTCTTAGACAACTATTTCAAGAATGCATGAAAAGGTTTTAAAGAACCGAATCGAGAGAGAATACTTAGATTATGAAGCATAAGACCAAGCAGGATTTCGTACGGGTCGATCCACTATGACCACATTTTCTCCTTAACCCAGATAATAGAAAAAAAAAACAGATGGCACGGAATCAAGAACAACATTCATATGTTGTTCTTTGACCTACGGAAAGCCTATGACAGCGTTCCACTGAAGAAGCTGTGGCAATAAATGGAACGCACGAATATTAATATAGAATTACTAAAAGCCGTTAAAGTGCTATACAATCCACCAATAACAAAACTAAAGGCAGGGACACAAATAACAACAGGATTTATAATATCAAAAGGGTCAAAGCAAGGATGTTGTCTGTCCCCCACTTTATTTAAAATATACCTCGAAAGCGCTTTAAAAAGATGGAAACAAAAATGCAGGACAATGGGGATACCTCTCACTAACACTATGGTATATACACTCAACTTTGTTGATCAAGTAATAATGGCTCAAGATTATGACGATTTAAACTATATGGCAAAAAAATTAATTAAAGAGTATAATATATGGGGTCTACAGCATACAAAATTGTGTCCCTGATACTTAACGAACGACTGGCACAATATACTGACAATATAATAGGATCCTATCAAAGAGGCTTCTTGAAAAACAAATCTACCATTGATCACATATCATCCATCAGACAAATATTAGAAAAAACGACGGAGTACGACATAGACTGCCATTACATCTTCGTAGACTTTAAGGCAGCGTACGATACTATTGACAGTTCCCAATTATATTCGGCGATGATCGAATTAGGAATACCAAAAGGTTTGGTAGAATTAATTAAAATGACAATGATGAAAGTCGAATGTAAAGTGCGCGTACAAGGGGATGTTTCAAAACCATTTAAAACCAACAGAGGACTGCACCAGGGAGATGCGCTATCGTGCACGCTGTTCAACCTAGCGTTAGAAAAAATTATGAGAGATTCGGGAATAAACTTAAAAGGTACGATATATACCCGTATTATACAAATAATGGCATACGCTGATGATATCGTCATAATTGGAAGAACCCAAAAGGAAGCAGTGGAGGCCTTCGCACGTATCAAAAATGCTGCAGAAAACATCGGACTTCTGATTAACATCCAGAAAACTAAATATATGCCGGCCATATCAAGAATTCAACAAAATAACTTAGAGATGCAACACGAAACGACAGAAATGGTAAAAGAATTCTGCTACTTAGGATCACTGGTAGACTACAAAAATAACACATCCAACGAGATAAAAAAAAAGAATAGGCGTGGCTAACCGCTGTTATTTCGGCCTGGGCCCTCAACTAAGAGCGAGAAGTATGTCAATAGCAACAAACTGCAAACTTTATAAAACAATAATACGCCCAGTGCTCACATACGGATCGGAAACATGGGCAATGACGACCCGAGATGAAAAGTTACTACGAGTCTTTGAAAGAAAAGTATTGAGGACCATATATGGCGGAGTAAACGAACAGGGTCTGTGGAGAAAGCGATATAACTTTGAACTCTATAGACTTTTGGTGATGCAGATATTGTGAAGACCATCAAAATATACCGCCTAAGGTACGTGGGCCACGTTATGCGGATGAATGAGAGTGATCCCACTAAAATAACTATGCTAAACAGGGCGGTCGGAAGAAGAAGAAGGGGGCGACTCTAAACTAATATATTGGGTCTAGAAGTAAATAAAAAGAAAACCGAATACCTGTTCATTGGAGTAGAGCAAAAAGATCTCATATTAGACGATAACACCAAGATAGAGCACCACTGTGACTACAAATATCTAGGTATCACTATTTTACAAGATGGAACATTGGACAAAGCCATAAGAGAGAGAAATACGTCAGGGAAAAAAGCCGTCACAATAGTAAAAAATGGAAAGATTCGAACGTAGTTATGAGGTCCGAATCGTTTTATAATGCTCCTTTGTCAGCTTTTTGTCGATCAACGATGATAAATATAATAGAAAGTGGAAGTTGTGGAGAAAAATGTTGATTTTATTGAGAGCTACTACAACTTACACTATATGATGATGTTAAGGTAACTATCTATAATAGGCTGCGCTCACACGAGCTTAAATCCCCAATTTATAATCTCACAAATAATTCATACCTCAGCACAGAGGTTATGAATTCTTCTATCATACCATACCAACAAACTTTGAACTATTAGCTTACATTACAATTTAATCTAGGCCGTAATTGCAACACTTAGGAAGCTCAAATAAAAAGTATATTATTCGGCAATTTATTTAATTACTATTTATAACTGGGAATAAGCCACAATTAAAGATAAAAATACATTTATTGACGTTTCAATTTCCAATTCGGAAATCGTTCTCAAAATACAAATAGTAAATTAAACAAATTTTGTTTTTTGTTTAAATAAAATAACAATAAATAAAAGAACAAAAAACAAAATTTGTTTAATTTACTATTTGTATTTTGAGAACGATTCCGAATTGGAAATTGAAACGTCAATAAATGTATTTTTATCTTTAATTGTGGCTTATTCCCAGTTATAAATAGTAATTAATTTACAATGCCACAAGAAAATAGCTTCAGAACAATATTAAGCAATTTATTTAGTTGTTATAAATGAACTAATTGTTAAAATATTACTCGATATAAGTTTGACAATGTTTGAATTATACACAGTGAAACTATAAAAGATTAAAAAGTTCAGAATAATGTGAGATTACAAATTAAGGGATTCGTTTTGAACAACAGCATTTTATGGGACCAATCCATTAGCACAGAAAATAAAAAGAGAATATATAAGACTAGTAAAAAGTATCACTTTATACAGCTGTGAAGTATGGCCACTGAAAGAGACAATTCTGGCAACGTTGAAAGCGACGGAAATGGATTTTTGAGCAAGAAGAGCTGCAGGCAGATCTAGAAGAGAAAGGATTACCAACGAACGCATTAGAGAAATAATGGGAATTAAAAGAACAATCACAGATGACCTAACAACAAAACAACTTATCTGGTTTTTATTATCATCCCGGTTTTTTATAGCGTTCTCCGCCTTCCGGTTCATAGTTTCCAACTACGTCGGTCATTCCATTCGCCAGGGTGAAGGTTTCTTTCCGACATTGCCTTCTGAATGCCGCCCAGCCAGGATTGTTTTGGCCTTCCTCTCTTTCTTCTTTCCCTTGGCGTCCATTTTAAAATTTGGTTTGGCAGCCTGTCGTCGTCCATTCTTTTCACATGACCATACCAGATCAGTTGTCTCCTTTGAATTTCGTCAATGATGGTTGACTTGACTCCCATTATATTTCTGATATGGTCATTTTGTATTCTATCAAGCCTTGGTTTTCTAGCTGATCTTCTCCAGAAGTCCATTTCCAATGCAAGTAGGCGTCGCTCAAGGGATTTAGTAAGTTGCCATGTTTCGCATCCATAGAGCACTATACTTTTAAAGATGGAGTTAAAGAGGAGATGCTTTCTTTGATTTGATAGTTCTTTTGACCATAGCATCGGGTTTAGGCATCCTATCACCCTTTTTCCTTTCACGATTCTTTGCTCTATCTCTTTTTCGGTACGCCCACTCTTGTTGATTGTTGTTCCCGAATATATATATTCCTCACAGTTCTTGATTGTTTCATGTTCGTTGACCATTAGATCTTCTACTTCATTCCGATGCATAAGTATTGCGTTTTGTTTCTATTTACAGAGAGGCCCCATTCTTCATATGTTTTAAACAACCGTCTCGTCATGAATTCTAAATCTTCCTTGTCTGCTGCCACTACTACTTGGTCGTCCGCAAAATGTAGAGTGTATAATGTTGTATCGTCGTCAAGTTGGATCCCCATTCCTGAACAGGATCTTCTCCAGTGTTTTAGTGCTTCATTTAAATAGATCTTAAATAGTATTGGAGAGAGGCAGCATCCTTGTCGTAAGCCCTTTGTTACTGGAAATTCTTCTGATAAGGTGTTGTTTAGTTTGATTTTTGATGATGCTTTATTGTATAATTGTTTGACTGCGGCGATGATCGTGCTATTTAATGAAGATCGTTCAAGAGACTGCCACAGCTTTCTCACAGGAATCGTGTCATATGCTTTTGTGAGATCCACAAATAAAAGATGTATTTCCTGGTTTCTTGCAATTTTCTTTTCATTCAGTTGTGTTAGGGTAAATATGTGGTCTACGCAAGATCTTCCAGCTCTAAATCCTGCTTGCTGTTCAATTTCATGAGGTTCGTATTCTTTCTCAATCATGTTTTTTAAGATTTTACCAAACAGCCTGCTAAAGGTACTGGTGACAGAGATACATCTGTAGTTTCCGCAAATATCTTTTGGACCTTTTTTGTGAATTGGAGTAATCCATGCTTCTTTCCAACTATTTGGGATTTCTTCCCCATTTAAGTATCTTGTGAATAGCACTTTAAGATAGTTTATTAGTTTTGGTGTTCCGTTTTTTAGAAGTTCTGCTGGTATGTTCTCCGGCCCGGATGCTTTGTTATTCTTCATCGATTTAAGCGCTTGTTGTATTTGTTCTTCTTCTACGTTTACATATTCACCTTGTACTCGTATTCGTTGAGGTGAGTCAGTATTATAAATATTTCTGTCTTCATTCAGTTCCCTTGCGTAATGATCTTTCCACTACGTAATGATCTTTTCCCTTGCGTAATGATCTTTCCATGTATCTATCTGGATGGGCTGTATTACGTATCTGGTTCGGACACATAACACGAACGGATGAACAACAAATACCAAAAGTAATATTAAAATGGCAACAAGAAGGAAAAAGAAAACGAGATAGACCAAAAAAAGTTGGAGCGAAGGAATAAATAAAGAATTAAGAGAGAGAGGGCCAAAGAAGAAGACCTATGGAACAACCGGAGTATGTGGCGATTGGAAGTCGAAAAATAGCGAGGAACGTTATAAACCGACAAGTAGTAGTCGTAGTAGTAGTAGAATTGATTTGATCAGTTATATCAGAGATCTTTTTTCCGAAATTTCGAAAAGTCTGTATTTATAAACCCAGTTGAAGGAATCTTCATAATTTTTAAATAAAAAATACGTTTCTATGTTTAATTCTCTTCGATATAACGAACAACACGATACCCGTGTTTGCTTACATTGGCTTATATAATTAATATTATATTATTGCTAATCATGTTTAATTTATTAATAAAAATTTTTATTCTAGCTAAAAACAACTCAACAGAAAATACTCCTAAATCCGATGTCAAAATAGACTTTGGTAACTTTCCGTCTCCTACATCGAAAACAGCAAGTTCCCAAAAAGTTGTTGTTCCCGCAGAATACGGGGCACCTTTAAGACTAACGTTGGACATTAACGATGTGGAGAATGTAACAGATATTGAACATATTAACTCACCGAATTGTACGCATATAGAGAGTACGAATAAACTGGGCCAAATCGGTGTATACTTTGCAGAATTGTTCGGAAGCATTGTAGGACTGGCGTACGGTGCAATGGCGCATATAAATAATGCTCTGCAAGGTCAAAATAAACCAGAAACAACAATTTAAAAAATGTCTATATATAATTTGTTGATCATATATCCCTTCTTAATATCTGATGTATTTCCAGTACTGTGAGCATCTTATTTCAGCATGATTTTTAAAATAGCCAATACATTATCTAATGATTACATATTTAGACGAATTGTAGGGCTAGAATATTTAATCAATTTTGTTAATAGTCATTACTTATACATACTTTTATAGATTTTGGACTTTTGAAGCAGTAATATAAGCAGTTCACACTGTAGTGAATATTGTCATTAAATTATAATTTAATTTTGATGATGCTTTAAGTCAAAAAGTTGTTAAGTTTTTCCAAATATACTTTTAGTTGTTTTTTATGCTTTCTGTGATTTCTACATAACGATTTTCATCTGCGCTTATTACAGTCTTTGTTTTAAATTTCATTATCACACTAGTTTTTCATCATTTCTGCATAAATGCTGAAGCAACATCTTAATAATCTCTTTAGCACATCAACACTATTTAAATATTGTCCAATTATTTTAATGCAATATACTTTTTTAAATATACTGTCCAATGACATATTGCAATTTAAAACTATTATTTTTACAGTATAACTCCATTTCTGAATGGACACAACTTATTGGCCTTTTTTAACATTATTATTTTTTGCTGATATTAGGCCTTAGCCACATTTTGTTATATTTTTAGGCTGAAGTTTATCATGTCCATAATTTACGACGATCTCAACATATTTTAAAGGTCATTATGAATGATCTAGTGATATTGGTCTTGGACCCATTGTTTGTGCTCTATCAGTTTCTTCCTAGTGAGGTTTAGAAAGATTTATCTTTATTGGGAGGCCACCGGCTCCGATTTAAAAGTCTGGTTTGGTTGATATATCATGCTTGCTCTCCGTTGTAATCTTTGAGAGTCCTTTGGTAAGAGGGGAATCATTGCTGTCTTGCGTTAGCAAAAGCTGTACAATCGCCTACAAAGTGTTTGTTTATCTCTTCTCTCTCTTTAAACCTGGGACATATTGTTAATTGACTAAGCCCACATATTTTCTGATCTCTCGCAAAGTAAGCGATACCTTTGAGGACCTAAATTCAATCTCTAGTCAAAGCAGTTAGTTGGTTTAGATAATTGTTTTGGGTTGATACCCCCTAGCTACTAATCTGCATTGCATCAGAATCAATATGGCTTAGCACGTCCTGCTTACTACATGTGGTTTCTACGATAGTGTACTATCTATCACTTCTCCCAAATATCTCACTGACCTCTGTACTGGAATATTATTTGCTACTCTAGTATTAGCGGAATCTAATACCAGCGACCAACTTGAATTTACACCTTCACGTAAAATGTAGAATCTCTTTGTAGAATTCTGTGGACGCAAAGAATGTGAATCTCAAAGAGAAATTTCAACTACACTTTTACAAAGCTCGAAGTGTGCTTTGTGCCAAGTTTTGCTATGTATCTCGTCCGCATATGCTTGAACATAGACTCTATACATCTCTATTTCAACGAAGAGGGAATCCATTACTGTATTTCAAAGAAAGGAAAAAATAATTCTCCTTAGGGACATCCTTTTCCAATGGGCCTAGTTAATTTCGCTCTGCACACGCCACAGTAATTCACCGGTGCTCTAACATAAACCCGCTCCATCCAGACACGGTATGGTTCCATTGAGCGCTTAATAGGTGCGAAGTCCAAATTGTCAAAGGCTTTCTGACCTATGTAACCTAGATCAAACTGACCATCAATAATTGTTTTCTTTAGTCTCTAGGGACTAGTTGGTGTAAGGTCGATTCCATAAAGTGACCTGGTATAAAACCGTACTGATTATCATTCAGAAGACCCGAAAATTCAGACTATTCCTGAACCAACCAATGTATTATCCTTTTTATCATTTTTAATTAAAACGAGGATACTGTAATCATCCGAAAGGCTTGTACTTTTTATTAGGACTTCTTTCCTGGTTTGGCTATAAAATCTCCTTTAGACACCCTCCAGGATAGAAACAAAATTCGGTGATAAAACACGCCTTGAACAAACCAATAATTATCCGTTGCACAGCACTCTATCCCTTTTATGAAGTACTATGGGAAAACTACCGTCACTCCCATGGTTTAAATCGACTCAAGGCAGCTCGATTTATCCTTCTTAACGATCCTGTTAGCGAACTCCATGTCTACGGAATCGTAACACTCCATGTGATTCGATTGACTGACATTTGCCATAATCGGGACATTATGATCAAGAATTATCTGTAGAGTTTCCTCTCGGTGAGTAAAGTCACTATTGGGCTAAGTTAGCGTTAGGATCATATTTCAGCATCTTCAGAGCCTTTGCCACTGACGCAGCTCCTTACATACCGATGCAAAAAAATCTTGGTCCCAAATCCCTTGCTATTAGTGCTAGTCTTTCTAATATCCTATACTCTGCAAATAGCTTTTCTTTGTTTATTTAGTGTTCTCTTTCGTAATGTATTCTAAGAATCTGGCTCTCATTTCTAACGTTCTAAGTTTTCTTTTTAGTTTTATGTGTATCTTGTTAGATTATCTAGACTAAATTGTCTCTTTAAGAGACAGTAGAAATACCAAATATTTAAATCCACATACTACTACTGTCTGAATATGAAGATTTCTTACCTCCCTAACGGAGCTTTTCTTTGAGGAACCTCAGTCAGTACAACTTTATACAAAAAATCCTTTTTCGAAAACGGTTTAGAATAAAAACATTATGAAAATTTTACTAGAGTGATTAAGTTGGTGAAAAAACAGTATACAAGCTTGTAGGAAATCTACAATTCTCAATTCTTCAAAGAAAATACAGTTAACCTATTGTCTTTGATTTTTTTAGATTAGATGCCAATACGCTATTACTATGTAGTTAATGGATACTAGAATTATCACAGATACTTTTTTATTGCTATTAATAAGTAGCTAATAAAGTTATGATCATCACCAACAGAGAAAAAAAATTAATTAATAAATCACAACCCGCGTTGTACCTAATTATTATACCTTTTTTTAGTACATGTGCACTATTTTATTTTGTTAATGTATTCTAATATGCCAAAGAATGTACTTATTTATTAACAATAAATGTTTCAAAATCTTTAGTTGTTTAAATAATAATTGTTAAAACTCCATATCAACCACCATAATAATGTGAAATTTGTGACCTCAGGTTGACCTCCTGTTTTTTGTTTAATTAAAACAGGTTATACATTGTCTTTGAGATAAACTAATGCAACTTATCATCAGAGCTGGTATTCCCAACATTTGACTTACCAAGCTACAGATTGGTAACCATGCAATAAAATGCTTTATATTATAAAACAAATTATACTGATATTGCATTAATTTATGGATTTTAAAAAAATCTTGGATGGACAGATAAAAACTGTTATTATATCCTAAAGTTGCATATTTTTGTATTATTATTCATTATTATTATTATTAAATAATTTTATTTATGACAACAAAAAAGAGAATGGGACAATATATAGAAACAAAGACGCTTAAAGACAACGAATTTACAACAGCAAGAAAGACGAATAGCAGACAAAAAAAATCGACAGTATCATAGAAGAATCAAAAAAAGGAAGCATTTGGGCCAAAGATATTTCATCTATAAATAAATCATTTATACGTCAAGGTCGACAATGTCAAACAGTAGGTCCTTATGGTCTTATTTGAAAACTACATGATAAAATAAAAAATAAAATACAAAAATTACATAATTTGGAACACATTTGGGACCAACTGGATCTAGACAGAAATAAAACGAAGAATAGCAATGACTAAAACTACTTTTAAATGTAGACATTTCTTTGAAATATCGTAAAGAGTATTTCCCAGAATGGATAAAGAATGTGAGATAATTCTATCAAAAAATACAACGAAACTCAAGACCAAGAAATTGCGGACGAACTACTTCACAGTTTGGATACAGCCAGACGACAAAATGGATGGAAACTGTGGAAAAATTAGACTTTAGTAAATGTATGGTCTTTAGTTAAAAAACTTGGTAGTAGTAGACTCTCAACTCAAGACAAAGTACCAGTAGGTACCAACAGAGTTGGCTCCCACATTGTAGCAACTTCAAGAGCACCTAGAGATGGTGACCAGACCAACAAAGTAAAACAAAAACTAAAAATACTAAGGTCTGCATGCCTGCCTACATCTGAATAATCTGACGAGGTTACTCCAGAAGAAATTATTTCAGCAATTTCAGAAATTAAATCTGGAAAGGCACCCGGTTTCGATAAAATCCATCCAGAATTTTTACTCCACTGTGGCAAACATGCTAGGAAATATTGGCTGATTTCTATACAGATATGATAAAATCAGGAAAAATCCCCCATTCACCAAAAAAGTCCTCCAAAAAAGCATTAAATATGAACAGAATTGAAGCATTGGAAATGTGTATTCATACAAAGATACTGAAGATATTTTGCACAGCAAGAAAAACGAATAAGGAAGTATTAAGGAGGGTCAAAAAAGATAGAGAATCAAACACCGGAAAATGTCTTATCTAGGACATGTATTGAGGGGAAATCGATATAGAATACTACAATTAATCCCTAAAGTCATAATAAAAAAAAAAACAGGTTTCTTGGTTAAAAAACATTTGTGAATGGATTCAGACATCAAATGCAGGACACAATTATTCCATTTGGTAGAAGGTTGAGAAATCTTCGTAAAGGTGATCGCCAATGTCTGATAATTCTGATATGGCACGTAAAGAAGAATATTACGTTTAATAAGGTTCCCTATTAATGTTGTAAATTTCTTGTAGTTCTGGACTGTTACCTACGTTTAGTTTTAAGGGATGTACTGATACTTTTTCACAAGAAGAGAGTCATGGAATGCATGAAAAATTGATGCTTGGATTTTCTTTCTAATAACGTGCCACACCATCCAATTAATCCAATGAATACTGCAAAATATCAGAGTAAACTCTTTTGATTGGCCAACAATGTATACTTATAATTTTGTTGAATATTTCTTGGAACATTTTTTTTAAACACTGTATATAAAATTTTATTATCTATTGTGATTTAAATTATTATATGGCGTTTTTTTAATCAATTATCAGTTTATTAAACTCTTAGAAATATACATTCTACGAATCGAAACAAGTTTTGATTTTATCAAATAAAAATTCATACGACTTGTTCTAAGACCACAACATTGAACAACCTTGAATCTGTGTGTGAATAACCTCAGTCCTCAATGTGTGAAATTTTCTTGGGA